GCCTCCCCCATTAGCTGCCCAGGGCCAGGCCCTCTCAACCCCCCACCCCTTCTGCCTCCAGTCTCACCCCTTCCTTCACCTTCCCACCTGCCACCAAAGTGGCCTTTCCGAGACACAGCTGTGACCCATCCCTCTGCTGCTCAAATGCCCTGAGCTCCATCAAAAAGCCACCCCACCCCTCCAGGTCCAACCCAGAGCACCTCTGCCAAGGTGCCTTCTCTGCAGCCACGGAGATTCCACACTTGATCACAGTTCACACTTTGGACTTCACCTCTTCCTGGAGCTCAGGCAGCCCCCTACCACCTTGTGGCCCCGAGGCCAGGGGCTCAGTCTGGCACTTGGCCTCCCGGGACACGTCATCTGGAGGTCACGCAGAGAAATGAGTGAAGTCAGTCCCCAGACACCACGGCCCAGCGGTCAGGGACACCGCCTTTGCTTTGGCAAAGGAAGGGGGGACCTTGGCAGGCTGTCTGAGCCAGGTTTCCTGACCTCGCCTCAGTGACAGCTGTTAATTCCAAATGAGACTACACAGAAGTTATGAGCAAGGGCAATACTTTTTTTTTTTTTTTTTTTTTTTTTTTTACTTATTTAAAAAGGCCTTGGTGGCAGGAATATAGTGTAAAAATCATTGGAAAAACTAAAAGGCATCGATACATATCCGAATATACACTTTGTACATAAATTACATTTCCTTTAGTCTTTCTGAGTGAGGTCCTGATTCAGCACTGAGGTCTAATAATTCAGAGGTCCCGGGAGCTGCACGTTCAGGCCGGCATAGTCCACCATGTACATTGGCCATTGCTAGAGAGAGGGGGACAAATGGCCCGAGTTAGGACTCCGGGTGACCCAGAAAGAACACCAGACCACTTAGCTCTGCTTTCTGAAGGGATTCCCCACTGGATTCATTTGGAGGCAGCCTGACGGTCCAGACGGGACCCGAGACCCGTCCAAGGTCATGCATTTTGCCAGTGGCCCTGGAGCCTGGGCTGGGGCCTTCTGACTTGCTCCCACCTGTGTGCCAGGGGCTATTCCGTGGACCAGGGGGAACCGAGGATTCGCTCAGAGAAGGTGAGCACCCCCACCAACTCCGCCCCCTCCCCGGCCTTATGCCAAAGAGCCAGTCCCATCTCTTGGAGGTGGGAAAAGCCAGTGACCCTAGGTGGGGACAAAGGTACAGCCTACAGCCCGAACTTTGGGGTTTGCCATGTTTAAAGGGAGGCA